AGCTTCAGCAGGACCCTGGGTCATCTTGAGGGAACGGAATTGCTGAGCTGACCACACAACCTCCCAAATACGCATCTCGGTATGGGAACAGATGATGTTCTCTAATGTGGACTCACTCGCTCTCTGGTGAATGGTTGCAGCGAGCCTCCACAGTCTACCTCAGACGATGCCAGAGCCTCTCAGCCGTCAATGCCTCAGAACTCAGCAACAAATAGAAATAACCTGGTAACGTCTACGATAAACCAGTTGCTATGGTGACCCAATATGAGTCAGAATAGAACTGGACTCCATAAGGTTTCCAATGGTTAATTTATTTAAAATAGCTCACCAGGCCTTTCTTAACAAAGCACCTCCAACCTTTTGGTTAGTAGCCAAGTCTTTTATCTATCTGAACCACTCAGGGACTGAACATCTAAGTTGTTATGGGCAAAAGATCGAATGTGAAAATCGTCTTCCTGTCTGCTGTGGGCTTAGTACTGCATGGTCATTGTTCAAAGGAGCTAGAGATTGAGATGACATATTTAATTTTCTAAAAGCTGAAAGCTAGTTAACGGTCCCAATCTCAATGGCTTATGGTCTCTCATACACTAAAGGCTCCTTAATGGCAGGCAGGATGTTGACTTCTTGACTTTGCACCCCAGTGATGTATGTAATGTAACAGATGGATCATGAAAGCCGTGGATGTACAGTCTCATGGCCTCACGGGCCTAACTTTAAATACTTTACTAATGTTGTGAACACCGGGATCAGAAAGAGTGATGGCAATGTAGGAAAATGCCCTGGACCACAAGGTCGGTGGTTCTGTGCCATGTTGTATTTGAGTCCGCTTGGTAATGGTGGTGGTGGTGAGCTACAGGCACACAAGCCCAGCCTCACTGGTGTGGCCCAAGACAAGAGGGAATGGAAGCATGGGATTTCTACTTTGGCCCACAGTCTCTAAGTCAGGGCTTCCGTAATTTTACTGTGCACTTAGGTATCTGGTAGCGTAGTGGTACGAATCGGGCTGCTAACCTCAAGGTCGGCAATTCGAATCCACCCTCTATTCCGCAGGAGAAAGATGAGGCTTTCTGCTCCTATTAAGATATGCAGCCTCGGAAACCCTGTGCAGGGTCACTGTGAGTTGGAGCTGGGTCACTATGAGTTGGAACCGACTCCACGGAACTTAAAAACAACAAGGCATCTAGAGATCTTGCTAAAATATGGTTTGCGTTGTGTGAATCTGGGATCTGCATTTTTCTAGCTCTCAGATGCCTTTCTGTCCGCGCTCCATGCTTTGTCTAGCCAGATTCTAGAGAATGGTTTCACAGAGTGGCTGCTCCTACCAAAAGCAAGATGATCTAGGTAGCGCTCATTGACAATGTTACTTCCTGGAGGGAGAACAACTCAGCTGGACACTTCTTCAATGCTAGCTCACCTGCTTAGAAGGAGATAGCGCCCTAGGAGGTAGTGAAGACAAGAGCCCCCTGGTCCCTAGACCTCCACAAGCATCAGTACTGAGAACCAGAATTTAATAGCAGTGTGTGTCCACTGTGTTTAATTTCATGGGGTCCTTTTATTTATGGGGCTCTCTGGATGGTACAAATGGTTAATGTGTTTGGCTGCTATCAAAAAGTGGAAAGTTCAAGTTTACTCAGAAATTCCTTGGAGGAAAGTGCTGGTGATCTTATTCTGAAACATCAGCTACTGAAAACCCAATGGAGCATCGTTCTACTCTGCCCCATGTGGGGTCGCCAGGAGTCGAGGTCAACTGGTTTCTATTTCTGGCAATTGATGCTGCATTTCTCTTTATGCAAGTGGTAAGGCTTCCTTTCAAATACATTCACTTTTGTTCCAACAAGTTTAGTTGTGCTAAAGAGATAAACAAATCGGGCTGCGAACCGGAAGGTCAGCAGTTCAAAACTACCAGCTGTTCCACATGAGAAAGATGAGGCTTTCTGCTCCTGTAATGATTTACAGCCTCGGAAACCCTGTACAGGGTCGTGGTCGCTATGAGTCGGAACCGACTCCACGGCACATAACAACAACAAAAGGATAAAGCCAATGCTTACTAAATACCAAAGCTCCTGAGATATGTAACACTTTTAAAACACTGCTGTTTTCTCTCAGGGACAATTGTTAAGTACTGCAGAGTTGGTTCCGACTCAGAGAGACCCTGTGTAGGGTTTCCGAGGAGCAGCGGGCTTCAACTGCTGACCTTGCAGCTCAAAACCGACCTTGAGATCCTATGCTTATCCTAACTGCGCCACACCAAGGATCCTCAATGATAATGACCATCATCAAAAACCAGTGATGTCCCATAAAGATTATTAAATAGCCCTTCTTCTGCAGAGTAATGTTTTCCAACAGCAGTCTAGGGGAAATGTTAACAAGTACTTGGGTCAAGGGCACACAAACAGGTTTGGGAAACTGTGCCTACGATAGATAGATGGTCCCTCCCCTGTGAACGAAGTCTGCAGCTGGGAGGCTGGGACACTGTAAATATGAGATACACTTATTCTCCTGAAGGGAACAAGTCTGTACTCCCCTGAACAATTGTTAGATTGGCAAGTGTTCTGGTCTGTCGGTGACAGCAAGCAGACTCAGCCAACTGTTTTTGTGGTTAAAATAATTACCATTCTAGTTTAGCATATGCATTGAGGGCAAAATTTAAATTAAAAAATAAATAAATGAAAATGTCTCCAGTGAGTCAGTCATGCCTTGAGAGCTCAACACTGATTGGCTGGAGGCACCAACCCAGTTAAATTTGCGTTTGCACACTTGTATTGATCTTACTATTCTGTTTCAGAATGAGAACTCATGGCAACTTTAAAGGAATTCCTGAGGAACAAAGCGGTTTTCTACTGTGGGGGGCTGCATAGTAACCTACTGCCACTAAAAAAAATTCATCAATAACTGTCAGCCATGGGCTGGGCAATGTTATCAGATGTGTCCCTAGCTGACCTCCTGCTAGTATCCAAGGGTTTAACCTTCAACATCAGGTGTCTGTGAGACTCACCCCTTTACTGTATTCCATAAAAGCAGTTTTCAAACATGTGCTTGTATTTTTTTGAAAACACAATGAAATATCGAAGTGTTTTCTTAATAAAAGTCTGTAAGAGTAAACCTTGAAAATTGGCATGTTCTCAATTTTAAAATCACTGTTTTGAAAAAGTGAATGGAGAAACAGAACTCTATGATCTGATGTTACCTAAATATCTTCAAATGCAAATTTAACACACTACACAGCATCTAATCATGAAGTATATTTGGTCTGACCGAGCAGGCTTTTTGGTTTGTGTTTTTGCTGGTTGGTTGGTTAGCTATATGCTGTGGAGTCAATCTTAACCCACAGCGACCCTGTAATAAGGGTTTCCGAGGCTATAAATCTCTACTGGAGGAGAAAGCCTCATATTTCTCCCATGGAACAGCTGGTAGTTTTGAACCGCTGACCGTGAAATTAGCATCCCAGCTCATAACCACTATGCTACCACTGTTAAATACTGTTGAGTTGATGTCGATTCACAGTGAGCCCACGTGCTAGAGGAGACTAACCCACAGGGTTTTCTGGGCTGTCAGCTTTACGAAAGCAGATTTTCTCCCCCAGAGCCTCTGGGTGGGTTTAAACTGCCCACAGTGTTCAGTGATTCACTTTGAGTATTTGATCTCCCTAACCTGAAGCATAAGGAGCTCTGGTAGCGTAGTGGTTATGAATCAGGCTGCTAACCTCAGGGACAGCAGTTCGAAACTACCAGCTGCTCCGCAGGAGAAAGATGAGGCTTTCTGCTTCTGTAAAGATTTACAGCCTCGGAAACCCTGTACAGGGTCACTATGAGTCGGAACCGACTCCACAGCACATAACCACCACAACCTGAAGTATCTCCCTTTGGGCGAAGGCAAGTGATGACTAACAGGGTAGCAAGGTTGGTGGCTGACAGCAATTACAACAGGGTAGTATGGATTTGAGAGCTTGGCTTGAATAGATTACGTAAATTCAAATGTAAAACAAAACAACTCTAAATTTCCATCATGTTGTTAAGTGCCAATGTATTGTTTCCAACTCATATTGGCCCTGTATTGGGTTCCCGAGGAACAGCTGGTGAGTTTTGAACCACTGACCTTGTAGTTTGTAGTCCAGGGCTTATCCTACAGTGCCACACTCTTGCAATGTGGGAGACAATGTGGAACAAAACTCAGAATTATAAAGATTGGGTTTACTGGTGTGAACGATACTTGAGGAGCTCCACACTATGACCCTTACCACCCTTTGCAAGTCTGGAAAGGAATTTGCTCTGAAGGCCCAATTTTCAACCAAGCAGTACATAAATATATAGATGGGAGAACAAAAACACTAGTAAGCCATGTTGATAAATGCCATCAAGTCGGTTCCAACTCATAGCAACCCTGAAAAAGGGTTTTGAGGAACAGCTGATAAGCTTGAATGTCGATTGAACCAATCCAGTGGTTCAAACCGACCTCGCATTAACCCACAACGCCATGCTCACCATGAAATAGTCAACCATCCATTCATGATCAAAAGGGCAACATTAAGCTAGGGACAAGGTTCAGTGAGGATGGGAAGGAGGGTGGAATGTAAATAAGAACCAGAGAGAGGAAGTGAGGTAACTATTGTTGAATGGCGGGGATTTCCGTCATTAAGATGAATGTAAAACTGATGATCTTGTCTGTAAACTTTCAATCAACACAATAAAAAAATTTTTAAAAACACAACAAAACATCCCAAAACCTAAATTTCTCCCTTTTGGACCTATTAAATTTTTCTTTTTTACTTTGTTTGAGGTGGTGCGGGTTGTTGTTGTTAAGTGCCATTGAGTCGATTCCGACTCACAGCGACCATGTATAAGGTTTCCATAGAGCAGGCGGTGAGCTTGAACCACCGACCTTGCAGTTCAAACGGCTTTGCAGTCTGATGCATTAGGCCACAGCGCCACACCAGGACTCCATTGTTAGGCATTCTGTATTCTGAGTAGCATCCTAAAATGTGACAGGGATGTTCTACATACCTCCAACTCCAGGTCCTCCCTGTCCATCTCCTGATGAATGCCTCCAATGTAATCACTGGGATCGTAGTATTCGTGAACCGAGGGATGCCTGGAAAAAGGTGAAACATCTTTCAGGCCCTGCTTCTGGCTATGAATATCTGTTTTCTCTCTTCCCATCCCAAGACCCCGCTGTGACCTGGCATGTGACAGGAACTTATGTTGGAACCAGAGTTGTAAGGTACCATGAGCACAGACCCACACAACTCACTGCTCTCTGGACATGGCTTCATCACAGCATCCCCACCATTGTGTCAAAGAAGAAACACGGCAAATGGGATCAATAGGGGTAAACAAAACAAACCCAGTGTCCTCAAGTTGATTGTGACTCATGTCAACCTTAGAGACTAGAGGTAGGGTAGCCCTTAAGGTTTCCAATGGTATAAAATCGTTACAGAAGCAGACGAGATGGCCTCATCTTTCTCCCACTGAGCGGCTGGGGAAATTCAGAATGCTGACGTTTCATTTAGCAACCCAATGCTTATACCACTGTGCCACCATGAATCCTCTAGGAGTTCAGGCGGTAGGACGTTTAATAGACTTGATTTTAGGAGGAGCTCCCCGTCCATGGTAACAGATGCGGACCGACGGTGTCGACCTCTGGTTGTTGGCTGGGGACCCAAACCTTTACATTCTCAAAGGTCAATGCAGCAATCAATGGGCTCTGGCCTTCCCTTCCAGGCACTTTCATTTTAAAACAATGCATCAGACACAAGTGGTCATTTAAACAAAGGCTGGCTTTCAGTTTTCTGGACCCATCAGGCAAATACATATTGTCTGCATGTAACGGGCTTTTAGTCCTGTGGATGCTGTTAGATGGCTAGGGCTTTCAAGCATCAGCTTACCACTCTGCTTTCATCCCCATGCACCCTTGCAAGGAATATGGTACATGCTGCTGTCTGACCCCAAGAGCTCTGACCTCTGGGCTCCCCTGACATTTTTCAAGCAGCCTCCTGGGGTTAAGTCTTGTCATGCTAACTAGACTTAAGGGGAAATGAGAGGTTTGGCTTCTAAAAGGCCTGTCACTGTGACTGAGTTCAACATTTGACAGTCCAGAGGAGCCTTAAAGGCCTCATCAGTAATGAGAGGCACTTTGAGTTTGTAACGTCAAATAACTGATTTGAATGATTGTACTCGGTGAACCAGCCAGTTCTTTCACCGAATCAACTGGGCTGCTACACAGCACTGTTCTGAAGAGCTGACAGTTGAAGTCAAACAGTTATTGGTAAATGCTGTCCATTTCGGACTCCCAGTGACTCTACAGGACAAATTAGATGTGCCCTATCTGCATTCTATGACTGTAATCTTTATGGCATTATAACGGACAATGTTCTGCTGTTATGCATAAGGTTTTTGGTGGATCAACATGCAGAAAGGGTCTGCCTCTCCTTTCTAGTCTGTCTAAGTCTAGAAGCTATAATGAAACCTGTCCACCATGGGCAACGCTGCTGTTAATTTCAAACGCCAGTGGCATAGCTTCTAGCGACATGCTGGCCGCCACAGTACAACAAACTGACATACAAGTGGTAGATCATGACAAGCTATGCATTACATTGTGAAGAATGGGTATTCCAGGACACTTAACTGTGCTTGTGAGGAACCTGTACATAGACCAACAGGCAGTTGTTCTAACAGAACTAGGGGACACTGAATGACTTACAGTTAAGCAAAGGTGTGCACAGGGTTGTAGTGTTTCACTATACTTATTCAATCTGTATGCTGAACAAATCATACGAGAAGCTGGATTACATAAGGAAGAAAGTGGTACCAGGATTGGAGGAAGAGTCATTAACAACCTGGGATACGCAGCTGATACTGCCTTGCTTGTTGAAAGCAAAAAGGACTTAAAATGCCAGTCTAAGACTACAACCTTCAGTACAGGTTATATACTTCAATATACAGCAAAAAAAAAAACCTCCTCACAACTGGATCAATAAATAACATCCTGATGAACGGAGACTAGATTGAAGCTATCAAAGACTTCATTTTGCTTGGATCCACGGTCACGGACGCAGCAGTCAAAATATCAAAGGACATGCTGCATTTGGCACATTTGTTGCACAAGATCTCTTTAAAGAGTTAAAGAGCAAAGAGCAAAGGTATCAGTTTGAAGACTAAGGTGCACCTGACTGAGCGATGGTATTTTCAATAGTCTCATACGCCTAGTGTGGTGCCGCAGGATTAAGCACTAGACCCCAAGGTCAGTTTGAATCAAAGGTTGGCGGTTCCAACTCACCAATAATAACATATGCATGTGAACGTTGAACAATGAATAAGAAAGACAGTAGAAGAGTAAATGCATGTGAATCCCAGTGTTGGAAAGTAGTATTAAAAGTGTCACAAACTGCTAAAAGAAGAAACGAATCTATGTTAGAAGAAGTACAGCCAGAATGCTCCTTAGAAGCCAAGATGGTGAGACTTTATCTCTTATCCTTTGGACATATTAGGGGAGACCAGTCCCTGGAGAAGGACATAATGTCTAGTCAAGTGAAGGGTCAGTGAAAAAGAGGAAGACCCCAATGAGATGGCCTGACACAGTGGCAGCAGCAGTGGGCTCAAGCCGAACCACTGTGAGCATGGAGTGGGACTGGGCAGTGTTCTGTTCTCCTGCGTGTACGGTTGCTGTGAGTTAAAATCGACTCAGTGGCACCTAACAATAACAACAATCTTCATGGGTTCTGATCACCAGGTCTTTCTCTCACTGGGTGGGTCTAAACCTCTAAACTTTAGGTTAGAAGTCACGTGTTTACTGTCTATCCATAGTACCACCGGGGCTCCTTAGATCAGACAGACCTGTCTTCAAAGCCAGACGTTGTCAGTTTCACTTGCGTATAGAGTTGGAGGTGATTAGACTAACAATAACATAGTTAGCTGAGCTGCATTTCCTTCCGTAGCTGTATTAACAGTCCTTTGCACACTGCCTTGCACGCTGTCATCTGTTTTTACATACTGTCAGTGGCACCAGAACTTAGGCTTTCAAGCATGGATTCCTGGATTCCGATGACAGCTAACTATTACAACCACGGGATAAAAGAAAAACTTTTCTCTGGAGCTTGATGGAACCACAGGAAACGTGTGCTCACTCCAGCTACAGAGCTACTAATAGGAATCCAACAGGTATCACCCTGAGGTTTTCCCTGTAAGCGGCGAACGTGCCCTTTGAAATAATGCATCAAATCAATTCTATGAATCAGGAGCCAAGATGCTAAGAGACAGGGGTGACTCTAACGTCAACTCCAGAGATGAAGAAATAGACATCATGTCCTCAAGGTGTAAATGCACATGCAAAAAGAGACATTCAACTGGACAACTTTAAGTCTGTGAGCTAACACAGAAAGTTTCTTGCTCATCTCTTGCCTACATATTTTATTTCTATCATTAAATAACTAATATGATCACTGTTTACCATATACCATACTGAGAATTTTCATACATTATTTCATTTAGTCCTCTAATAATCCTATGAGATAGGTACTACTTTAATCCTCATTTTAAAAGAGGAAAACTGAAGCTCAGGGACATAAAATAAATTACCTAAGTTCCTTAGCTAGAAATTAGTCTAAGCATCATGCTTGTCAGACTCTTAGCTACTCTATGTCTCTGGCACAAAGTAACAGAGCAGTCATGTGCAGACTCACAACTGTACTTTAATTGGTCTATGCAGTACTTCTTTGAGGCATGTGTAGGCTTATTACATGAACCCATGTTTGAAATGAGACCCAAGAAAGCTCAACACACAACCTCCAGAGCTCTCTTTCCTCTCACAACTCACTTTGTTGTCTATTCAAAAGCACAATCGGCATTCCCTCTCGTTGGAGCTACCAAATCTCCAAATTACCATTTGTGGTGATTAAATTTCATTCTGCAACAACTTTTAACACATTTGTAAGTAATTTTGTTCTTAGAATATAATTTGAATAATGCCGCTCCAGGGTTATAATAAAGTAATTAATATGTCGGAGCAGTTTTGAGCAGGATTCGATTTATTGCCTCTATAAACAATAAAATTAAACACGGTAACTTGGAGGAAAATTATACGTGTTGTTTTTTTTCATTCACCACAGAGTAGGGGGAAGGAAAAAAAACCAACAAAAAACTGACTGGATCGGACCATATTTACTGATGCAACTTAATACGTTAGTGATTGACAAGCATAGATCACTTACTCTTCTGGCAGGAGGTACGGATCCAGCACTGGCGGGGTGGGAGAGGAGAGTTTAGAGAGAGCCATGATATGTTCAAAGGTGATGTCAGTTTGAGTTCCTGTATCCACCAGCTGCAACTCTGACGGAGGAGTGAACATTTTGGTTCGTGGCGTTCTTCTCAGTACCTGGACCACGATGGGCTCTTTGGCTGTCTTGAAAGCTTCTACTGCTTGATCATGAGTTGCTCTGGATAAGTCTTTACCATTTACCTGTTGAAAAACGTTTCAGATAGGAAAGGATTACCATTAAACTGAAACTAGAAAACTTGGGTATATTAACATCCCTGCGAGGCACGAATATGTTTTGCATTTGATGACTAACCTATAGGTTGATAGTTTGAACCCACACTCAGGAGTGCTGCAGAAGACAGACCTGTTTCTGGCGACATGAAGGTCAAGAAAGCCTTCTGGGAACACAGATCTACTACGTGACGCATGGGGTCACCCAGAGTCATCCTGGACTTGACCGCAATGGATTTGACTTAGTGTTTAGATTGTTTCCTTGGGTTTCCCCAAAGAATGTAGCTGCAGCACTGCTGGGAAGGGGGGAGGGGTCCGGAGGTAGCCAGAGCTGGCATTAAATAATAAATCTCACAGCGGGGAGCCTTGGCTGCCTCCTGGCACGTCTGTAACACAATTCTATCACTTGCTAATCTTGCCTGTTAAAGCAAAGACCAGCCTGAGGCTCAAAGTCTTTATCAGGCAATACTAGCTAACTAGAAATTAATTACATTGTTATGTTTTAATGGTGCATATTTTTCCAGTTTGTGACAGGTGAGTCTAGTTTGCCTTTTATGGTCATGATATAAAATTTTCTTTTTGAATGATTGCATTTCCCTACAATAACAAAGCAATGGAAAACAATAAGTAAATGAACAGCGTTCACCATCCATGTTTATAGCAAATACTATGAAGGGGGAACTCAGATGGTGGACCTTTGGTAATAATAGCTAGCTTAAGGGCTGTGCTGTTTCCCATTGTGTACAATGCTTTCCTACTGTCCTGTCCCTTTAGTAGTGCAAACCGCTAAATGCTCAGCTCCTAATCAAAAGGTTGCCCACAGGCTCCTCAGAAGAAAGACCTGGTGATTTACTTCCCCCAAACAGCCATTGAAAACATTGTGGAGCACAGTTCTACTCTTGCTACTCATGGGCTCCTTATGATTTGGAATCGTATGAATGGGAACTGGTTTGGTTCCGGTATGGAGCTGGAGATTGAGCACTGGATCGCATATTGGTTTAACCACAAGGTCAGTGGTTCAAACTCACCAGCTGCTCTTTGGAAAACTGATAGAGGTGGGTATGACCTTTGGATGCTGTGTCTAAGATTCTTCCCAAGCAACACGGCTATTTTCAGAACGGCTTGAACAAGGGCAGACACGAAAGAGACATGAGAATCTTATTTTTAGAAAGTGAAGTCATTGTGAGCAACATGGAAGGACAACTAACTTATCCTCCCTGTCCCATGTGGCCCTCATAGAGCCAAGGAATGTGACATTATGTTCAAACAGTTGGATACGGTTTTACAACTGGACCCCACGACAGACTGAAATATTTCAATGTTATTTCCCAAGTGTCATTCAATAGTGACGTAAGGACCACATTTCACAAAATATATGAGTGCAGACATGTCTCTGCCTTTCAGACCTTCTCTGGAGAGCAGACTGACCCACTAAATAATATTCACTGAACAGGAATGCCTGAGTCTTAAAATCTCTTGCATTCATAAGCCACCCTTGAATACCTGCATGCTCTATAAATGCCTAACTAAACGGAACCACAGCCTTTTCCTGTGTGACACACACATTTTCCCCTCAGTAGCTTGTAACAGGCAGTCCTGCATTCTGAACCAGTTGCGTTCCCACTTCTGTTTCTGAATCCACTTTGTACATATGAAGGTTAGTCAAAAAGTATTGTTGCTACTAAGGTTCCAATTCGTACAGGCACGGACATAGTCCAAACAAAACATGTTTAAGCATGTCTCTGTGATCACTGGCTGGCTGTAGACAAGCTCTCTCAATAATACACCTGTCTCAGTCTCGTGAGGGTGCCTTTAGAAAAACCCCTCTAATCTTAAAGGGTTTCTGAGAGGATCTGCAGGACTAATTAAAGGTAGAGAAGTTTTGGGGGGAATTTCAATTGCTAACCTGGACAGATTTTTCCAATGAAATCAGATGATCATGGTAACTCATTATGAAGAAATTTAAAAATTTAAAAAAGAAAAAAAAAAAAGCGAACTGCATTAGTAAGAAAAAGGCCAGAAAAGGTGCTCTGAAAAAAAATTTTCATCACAGCAATGTACCTGCTCATTCTTCGAGGGTAGTTATGAGCTGCCCTGTAAGAATTGTATTAGATAGCTTTACCCCACCCACCCTATGGCTCGGATTTTGCCCCTTCAGACTTCTTGTTCCTCAACCTCTAAGCACACTGAAGAAGAACACATACTGCCATTTGGATGGGTTGTAAAGAGAAGAGCCCAAAATTCTTCAGAGAAACACTGCCCTTCAAAGTGTATAGACATCGATGGAAGCTATGCTGAGAAATAACTGCTTCACATGTTGATATTTCTGCTTAATAAGGGTTCATATAATTGTGAATGTAGCAATAATAAAACCGGGGCTTAAAAAGTGTGTGTGTGAAATTCCATAATCGTTCAATTCCATTTTTCATGAACTTTTGGAAGCTCATGAAGAAAGCTTGTACTTTTTGACTTAAGTCAATCAGAACAGTTAGGTAGGGCTCGTATCTGAAACTAGTCCATCAAATGTCTGCCTCAGTATATAGAGTGTCACTTACCCACGGTTTTGCTTTTCACAGTTTTAGTTACCATGGACCATGATGGTCAACTGTGGTCTAGAGATATTAAATGGAAAATTCCAGAAGTAAACAACTCAAATGTTTTAAATTGCACACCCTTCTGAGTGGCGTGGTGAACTCTCGTTCTGTCTCATCCCGACTGGGATGTGAATCATTTCTCCTTTCTTCAGTGTATTCATATTGCATATGCTACCCGCCCATTAATCACTTAGGAGCTCTGGTAGCGTAGTGGTTACGAATTGGGCTGTGAACCTTCAGGTCAGCAGTTCGAAACTACCACTTGTTCCATGGGAGAAAGATGAGGCTTTCTGCTCCCGTAAAGATTTATAGCCTCGGAAACCCTGTACAGGGTTGCCATGAGTCAGAACAGACTCCACGGCACATAACAACAGTAACATTAATCACTTAGTAGCTGCTCGGTTCATCTGATCAACTGTTCTTGTATTCAAATAGCTCTCATTTTACTTAATAATTGATCTATTTTATTATTAGTTATTGTTAATATTTTATGGGCCTAATTTTTTAAACATCATAGACTTACATGTTGAAGACAAAACATAATATATGAGGGGACTTCAAAAAGTTCATGGGGAAATGGAACTGAAAGACCATGAATTTTTCCCATGAACTTCTGAAAGGCAAAACCATGTGCCAGGCCAATCACATGCCTCTATTTCCATGAACGTCTGAAACTCCCTTATAAAGTGCGCTCAAGCATGCACTGAATGTGCAGATGTGTGGCGCAGTGGGATAAAGCATTGGAGTGAAAGGTCAGTTTGAATCACAAAATTGGAGGTTCAAACTCGCCAGCTGCTCTTTGGAAATCCTATATAGGGTCATTATGAGTCGGAACTGACTGAATGGCGCTTAGCAACAATAACTGTATATGTAGTGTATCTCCCTATACATTTTTGTTAAGTGCTGTAGAGTCAGTTCCAACTCATGGCGGCCCTGTATAGATTTCCGAGGCTTTCAATCTTTGCAGGAGCAGATGCCTTATCTTTTCTCTCCTGGAGTATCTGATGGGTTGAACCACCAACCTCTTGGTTCATAGTCCAGCGCTTATCATATGGAGCCATACACTCCCCTTTCTATGCATAAAAAACAATAAGAAGACACTTATAGATACACTAAGATATCGTTAACGTTAATAACACAGCAATAATAATGTTTTGGAGTCCTGGTGTGGTGCTGTAGCGTAAGCATTTGACTGCTAACTGCAAGGTCCGCAGTTCAAACCCAGTAGCCACTCCTTGGAAATCCTATATAGGGTTGGTAGGACTCAGAACTGACCTGATGGTATTTAACAACAACAATGTTTGTGCACATCACAAAGTAGTGCACACTTTGGGGTGGGATTGGGGAGTGGTCCATAACCACAGGTGTATGTAGTCAGATGTTCAGGTTCTGGGGAGTGCCTGTACTTAAATGAGCCTGCACAATTCTGACCATCTCCTAAGGTGGAGCCTTTAGGTTCTTTTTGTTCAAATAGAACAGGAGTATTGGTTTGCAGCTATTGTCATATTTTCCAAACCCTTTCACTCTGGTCCTACTGGGCCAACATCTCTGATCAAAGTACCTTCTAAACAACAGTTGTGTTGAGGAATAGATGTGGGATTTTATCCCTGAAATGAAGTCCAAATGAATCATGCAAGTGGAGATTATTCACGACTTGGATTCAATCCACTTAAGTAATTTACTTACATCATGAGGGAGTTAGGCAGAAAAAGAACAGAGCTCCAAAATGGATCTCCAGTAAATAAGGGAATGTCTGAATTGCCAAACTTAATGTTCCATCCTGGGAACTGCAAACACCAGAGTTTAACACACAACTGTCATCATTCTCCTCCAGTGAAAAAAGAACAAAGGGACACAAAAGAATCTTCTAGTTTTCCAAACCAGTTGAGATAGTCATGATGCCTTCCTTGCTTAGACCCCAGAAGGCTGAGACCTTGAGACAAGAGCAAATGGAGCAGGTATAGCAAGTGAAAACCAATGTGGAGGACTATGAAATGCACACTGGGGAAGGTAATTTGAGCCATGTTTTCCATTTATGCATGACAACAAAAGTACAGGAATTTATAGTGTGACAGTATGTATGTTCCTGAGGTACATCAGTATATTACAGCACTCTGTAGACAAGGTGGGAACGGTCAATGCCGAGTACTAGTCACAATGATTTTTTACCCCTTGCTGGTCAGTAAGGATCAATTGTAACAAAGTTAGTTTTCCCCACAGCGAACAGAGACAGTTTTGAACGGGTCCTTCAAGATGATGTCATATCTGCATGCTCTCTGTTTTTGTTATTGTTAAATGTTGCCGAGTCAGTTTTGACTCACAGTGACCCCGTAAAGGGTTTCCAAGGAGTGGCTAGTGGGTTTGAACCACTGACCT